TCAGGGACAGTGTCAACCAAGCAACACCTTAGTGACAGCTATGTTCTGGAGGAAGGGTGCTCCACTTCTGTGTTTGGCTTAGCCAGACTTCTGGGTGGGTTCTTCTAACTCCTTTCCCATCCTCCTGTCCCTGATTCTCTTGCTCCAAGATGCATATTTATGCTATACATTATCCAATACACACATTAAAGTCCCTGGAACAGCAGTTTGGCCAGTTGCAGACAAATTCTTTCTGTTTCTGTAGGAACAGTAACAAAGTTTGTACATGTCTGGGGCTTTTTTTTTTCTCCCCCTGTTTTTTTATTTATCAAAACAGGGCAGTCCAGTGTAATTGGATGTGGCTAAGGGCAAGAAATTAGTATTCACATTTACAGAATTTGAGTTGGCATATTTCAGTTGTGGGAAAAGAGAGAGAACTAACGATTCTAGCAAATCAGGGAATATTCACTCTCTCCTCAGCATGACACCCAGTTTCAGTATCCCCTAACTGTGAGCATGCAGACAGAATGCTGTGCTGCTTCTACCCTGGATGGTTGCTATGCCCAAATACGTTTAGCATTTAACAAGGTGGAGGCTGCCATTCAGTTGATATTGGTGTATCACTTTCTTGGGATCAATGAGCTCTGCTTATTGTAATCAATACATTAAATAAATAATACAATTTTCTTATTGCTGTCCAACCTTTCTCACACTGCATTTTGGCCAAAATAAGAATACATCTGGGGGTGTATTGTGAAACTCTTCTTTGACCTTACTCAGGATGGCCACAGGCATGTAACCATTCAAATTATTGTAATAAAACCTGTAATTTTTAGGCATTTTTAAATATGCGTGTCTTGAGGAGCTATGGGAGAGAGTTCACTGAACTGCAAAATGTCTATGCATAAGGTTCTATTGTCTTTTATTTTCACTGGATGGCATCAAAATGATTACTCAGTGACTGTCAGAGCTATGTGTATTTTCTAGAAGTATTTAAGAGGTACTAAGTGGTATGAGGCCAGCAGTCTCATTCAATTGCATTGTATTCTACCAATACCTATTGTTGGCTCCAGAAAAATGTCAGATGCTTGCTAGCCAGGCTGGGCCTTACACTGTTAGTGCAGCGCCTGTCAGAAATCATTAGCCACTGATCTCTTTGACTAATGTTCCAGTTGATTGTCTGATTCATGTTCAAGATCTGTAAATGAGGCAGAAGCATCTTACTGCTCACCAGCTGTGAAATGGCTAAACACAGCTAGATTTTCAAAAATCAAAATAAATGTGTTTCCAATAAAGTTTGACAACAATATCAAGTGCAAAGCTGAGAGCAGAACTACGGTTTTGTGGTTTCTAAAGTTACAGTATTATAAATCAATATTATGCCTTCACATTTTTGTCAGAGTAATGTATTTTACCAAAATAGCAAAATACTGGTAGTAGCATTAATCTTGTGTTGAGTTGGATAGACATTCTTTATTTAACTTAAATTCATCCCTTCGATTTTTACTCTTTTGTCCATTATCCCCAGATGTATCAATGTTTAGCACAGCCTATGTCCTTTTGTCTGAGTCCTCAGTGTATGCTAATGATGTATGTGCGTGTTTTTGTGTATGAATAAAAGTACAAGTGTGACAACAATAAAAATAAAGGGTGGAATTTTGAGGAGGGGGAGTTGTTTTATATTAATAGAATAACCCCACGAGGGTCATACTGGCATAATGCTGAGATAACCAAGAGGCAAATCTGCACCTGAGATCTGACTAATATTTTTCTTGGCAAAGGAGGTAAACATGAAATTCACCTTTACTTAGAGAATCAGTGCAAGAGCTATGTGACAAATAAGCTCTAGTTTGAGGATTTAAGCAGAGCTTGTTACTTCATTGTTACACTGTAACTAATTGTAGCCACAATAGACTTGCAAAGAGAGATTAGGAAGAGAGCTGAATCAGCTTAGTGCTGAGTGGGAAAACAGGGGAAATTATACAGTGCATCTTGTTGGGTTTTTTTATTTATTTCTATTTTGGAATTATAAAACCTCCTTTCTGTCTTTCTCCCTTTCTCTTCCCTTTCTTTCCCTTTTCTCTTTCTTTTCCCTTTTTCCTCTGCCTACACCAAAATAGTGGGCAGCATGTAGGGCACTTGTCTCTAATGTGGAAGACAAAGTTGCAGTATTCACCCTCCCACCTTCCCACATTCTGCATAAATGAGAACAAGCAATTGAAATCCACTGTTCATTTCTATATGACTTTTATTTCCATTTTATTTGTTTTGGTTTTTTTAACCAGTAACTCTACTGTGCACCCACAGAAGTACGAAGTTAGAGATAGTGTGGTCACGTAAAGCCAAAAACTAATTCATTATCAGAATCAGTGCAGCTTTCATAATTTTTATTTTGTTAAACTTACCTTACATTTTCTTTTTAGAGGGAGAAAAAACTGTACATTATTGTGATCTGTTCAACCGCATATACAGTGGTATTTTTCCACTAGTTGCTAGGAGTATCAAACTCTCTTTGAAAATTTCATAATGGAGCCAAGCCAGGCATAGCAAAATAAACTAAAAAAAAAAAAAAAAAAAAAAAAAAAAAAAAAAAAAAAAGAGAAAAAAAAAAAAAAAAAAAAAAAAAAAAAAAAAAAAAAAGAAAAAAAAAAGACATAGTGTCCCTTCAGTAACTTTAATAAGAAGACTTTTGTTCCTCTAACGCTTACATGTTAATCCAGCATTTCATCCTGCCCTACCTCCTCTTCTTTTTCTATCCTGAATGTTGAAGTTAAGGCATGTGCCGTAAGTAAGGAGGCTCCTCTTCACTTCCTCCACATAAATGGATACTGAGCAACTGTAGCATACAGGGGCACTACACAGCTCCTTTCCACCAAGAATGTGTCCCCTTCTGCATCCCTATGTAGTGTCTGAAGCTGGAGGAGTTACTTGAAATACAGGCATATTTTCTATTATGGCCTATTTTCTATTATATTTCTATTCCTAATACGGCATATTTTCTATTGTAATTTATTAAGATCTCCTTCCTTTCATGTAGATGATTTAATTATTGTTATTTCATCATTATTTAGAGTGAAACATCTGATTTGTATAGTGTAGTAGTAACCTGGGATCAAAATGAGCATTTTTCATCAATACAAATTAGTGGCTTTATTTATTTACATAGTTCTTTCTAGTAGCTGTTGCAGAGATGCAGTGAACCAACTTTTTACTTTAGCTACTCTGTCTAGATTTTCCCTTGGTTTTATCTGTAACTTTTAGGCTTTGTCATACCTTTAATAAAAAGAAAAGTACAGTAGCCTAAGCCTTAGGTGCCAAAGTAAACTTTCTGTGCTAAATAGTAACCACCAGAGGCCTAGTTAAATATTGCAGAGGCCAGTTTAAAGTCTTTCAGGATTTCAGTCCTGTACGTAGCATTCTGGAAACCTCCTGATACTTTTATGGCAAGTTTTCTGATATGGACACTATTACCACAACAAATGTAGCTCCTTTGGGTTAAATGCAAAACCAAGAACTGTTTCTTGGACACTTGTGTGCGTCTCTGTTATCATCCTGGATTATTAGAAGGACACACTACAAGCCTTGACAACTTAGAGCTTTGGGCAAGTTCTGAACTGATGTGACAACTTACTAACTAAGGTGCCTTTATGCTCTTTTTGTCATATCTTGTGCATTGAGAATGACTCAATTGAGAATGACTCAAGTATAGCGTGCAGTGATGATGTACATGAGAATATAACTGATAAGAAAGTACTTGAGGCGTGGTAAGTAGTGCAGTGCACATTAATAAATGCTACTTTTTGTGCACACAGAGCTTATATAACAAAAAGAAAAGAAAAGAAAAAAAAAAAAAAAAAAAAAAAAAAAAGAGCCTTGTCCAAGGATACTCCTGTATGTAGTAAAACTGTTTCAAGAACTAGCAAATCTGAGGTGTGGAAACTGGTAGAAATGGTGACATCCATAGCATTAGCACACACAGGTTGTCTTCTTTCAACCCGTGCATTTTGCCAGTGACAGGGGGTGCAGTCTTAGTAGAAAATGCCCTACCTTTTATCTTAGTTTAAATAGGCATCTTGGGGTATGCATGATACTGTCCTATGTCCCTGGGCATCTCCCATCCCCCTTCAGAGCTGGTAAATGACATTCACTACTCCTTTCTTGGAAATGTGCAAAAAGGATTTCCATAGATCGTCTTTGGAGATTTGCTGTTTCCTCATGTGTGTAATAGGTTGGGTCAAGCAACAAAGAGGAGGGAGGAAAGAATAAGATTTAATTTTATATGCACTTTCCTGTCATCACCACTGGAAACAAAAGGGCTGAAAAGAGAAATTATGCAATACAGGTGATGTCAGTGCTAAATTAAGTTAAGATCATGCATTTTTATACAGCAACGGTAAGCCTTTGGTTAAGGAAGTGGTCATGATAATAGAGTACATTCCCAACCAATGTTAACAAATTGCTTGTGTGCATAAATAGTCATAAAAATAACAACATTATCTACAGTTTTTTAAGGCAACATAGATTACATGTGTAGCCTATAATTTATTGACTTCTTGAGCATCCAGATTCTACTAAGAAAAGTTGTCGACAGTTTAAAGAAAGAAAAATATTAATTTTATTTCAGCATATCATTCTAAAACACTATGAATGCAAACGATACCATCTTAAGGTATTGATTATAGACATTCATAAAAGCACAGCCTCTTAAAATCTTTTAAATTATGGATAAGGAAATTTATATTGCAAATCAGGTAATATCCCTTTGGCTTTTGCAAAGTGCTAAAATACATGGAATTAAATGCAAGTTATATCTTTTTAATTTGTAATTATTGAGTAGTTTCAAACAACTATAAGTAATGATCAAAAACCTAGTCCCATTACAGCTAATTAAGGAAGAAATGTACAAGTGGGAAAACTTTTAATTTTGTGTTTCATATGGACACAGAGACTGGGGGGGGGCGGGGAATAATGTAGAAACTCTTAGCATGGTATTTATTGGGTTTTGTTTTCCTGTTTCACAGACTTTGGACACCTCTGTAAAAATCTTCACACCACTTTGTGATTCTGCTGGCCTAAGCAGAGCATATGCAGCCATAGCCAAGATCCTGGTAAGGTAGGTTAGCACATCCTTGTCTGACTGTCAATGCAGATTCATTCAACTGTGAAAGACTTAAATTGTTAGAGGTCTGTCTTTTCCCATTACTGACTGCTTAAATTTTAAGCAGTGCCCTTCTTGCAGTAAGTGACCCTTTCATGGAAAGTGATTTGAAACTGGCACATATTTTTTAAAGTGTATGATCCAAGCTTTTCTTTACCTGTAAACTATAACATGTCCTTCCCCTCTTCGCCCCACCCCCCATTTTGGGGATTGGGATTTTTTGTATGTTTGTTTGTTTTACCCAAGTTTGAGAGGGACCTTACTGGAAAATGGAAATCCAGGCATATTTTCCAAGTTAAAAAAGACAGAAAACTTTGAAGAATGTAGCAAGCTTCAGCAGGTGTCTCAGTGTGATCTTTCTGAACTCTGAGTTTCTATTTCTTGTACTCTTCTGTGGAGGCATTTCTAGTTTGTGTATGTGTAACTAGATATAAATTTGTCACAAATAAAATGCTTGTCTTCAATGTTTTCATTTCAGAATCTGGGATTAAAATCTACTTCCAGGTGAATTAGTTTGAAACTCTTCAACTTGTTACACAAACAGTTTTGGCATAGTCTAATGTAATTATCATATGAAGTAAGAAACATTAAAGAGCTTAAAGTGAAGGTTGCATCTTATCCTTGATTCCTCCTTTGTTTGGGGACTTCAGCGTCTATGATGCATGTTAGAGGTTGGCAATTTTTTTATAGAGGAGGACTTCTCACCAGGTTTATTTCAGTGTTCAGAGCAAATTCTCCTGTTTGAGTCAGATCCCTTTACTCTTGGCCTTTCAGAGCACAGAAGGGCCAGTCACAATCACAGTTCTCTTCAGTTCTCTGATACATAACACCTGGCTACCACCCTCACTGTAAGAAATTTCTTCCTAACATCTAATCTAAATCTACCTTCTTTCAGCTTAAAACCATTAGCCCTTGTCCTATCACAGTAGGCCCTGCTGAAAAGTCTGTCCCCATCTTTCTTATAAGCCCCTTTTTAGTACTGAAAGGCTGCAATAAGCCTTCTCTTCTCCAGGCTGAACAAGCCCAACTTTCTCAGCCTGTCTTTATAGAAGTGTTCCAGCCTTTTTCCGGACCTGCTTCAACACCTCCCTGCCTTCCACATGCCTTAGCATAGCTTCTGGGAGGATCTGTTCCATGATTTTTCCAGGCAGAGAGGTGAGACTGACAGGTTGTTAGTTCCCAGGGTCCTCCTTTTTACACTTTTTAAAAATGGGTGCAATGTTTACCTTTTTTCATCATCAGGCACTTCACTTGGGTGCCATGGCTTTCAAATGTACAGCTAATTCCCTTGGAACTCTGGGGTGTATCTCATCAGATCCCATAGGCTTATGTATGTTCAGATTCATTGGGTATTCATAAACCTGATCTTCTCTTACAGTGGGAGGGACTTTGCTCCCCTCGTCCCCATCTTGCAGGCCATCCACTTGAGAGGTGTGGGAAGAGAGGTTGCCAGTGAAGACCAAGCCAAAAAATTTGTTGAGTACCTCACCCTTCTCCTTGTCTGTTGTTATCATTTTGTCCGGAGTGGTCGTTGAGGGGGGTATGCTTTCTTTGACATTCCTTTTCCAGCTGACATACCTTTAGAAGCCCTTATTATTTGTATCCCTTGCAGAGTTCAGCTCCAGCTGTGCCTTGGCCTTCCTGACCCCATCCCTACACAGCCAAGCAGTGTCCCCCAGGATATCTGTCCATGCTTCCATTGCCTGTGCATTTTCTTCTTGCCCTTTAAATTAACCAGCAGGTCTTGACTCAGCCATGCTAGTGTCTTGCCTTCTTTTCCTGATTTCTTACACCTGGGGACTGAGGCTCTTGTGCTTTATGGAAAGCAAATCCTTAAAGATCTGCTAGCTTTGTTCTTCTCCCTTTTTTTGTCAACTACACCAGCAAACTCCCTCAGGACTCTGGGATGCATCTTGTCAGGTCCCATAGACTTACGTATGTTCAAGTTCTTCAGATGGTCGCAAACCCTGTTTTCTCTTACAGTGGGAGGGACTTCGCTCCCCCGTCCATCCACTTGAGAGGTGTGGGAAGAGAGGTTGCCAGTGAAGACCAAGCCAAAAAATTTGTTGAGTACCTCACCCTTCTCCTTGTCTGTTGTTATCATTTTGTCCGGAGTGGTCGTTGAGGGGGGTATGCTTTCTTTGACATTCCTTTTCCAGCTGACATACCTTTAGAAGCCCTTATTATTTGTATCCCTTGCAGAGTTCAGCTCCAGCTGTGCCTTGGCCTTCCTGACCCCATCCCTACACAGCCAAGCAGTGTCCCCCAGGATATCTGTCCATGCTTCCATTGCCTGTGCATTTTCTTCTTGCCCTTTAAATTAACCAGCAGGTCTTGACTCAGCCATGCTAGTGTCTTGCCTTCTTTTCCTGATTTCTTACACCTGGGGACTGAGGCTCTTGTGCTTTATGGAAAGCAAATCCTTAAAGATCTGCTAGCTTTGTTCTTCTCCCTTTTTCTGAGGGCAGTGTCCCAGGGGGTCCTATTGACTAACTCCTTGAAGGGCTGGAACTTTGCTTTTGTAAAATTCAGGGTTGTCACTGTATTCTTCTCCTGACCCACATCCCTCAGGACTCTGAATTCCACCAGTGCATGATCACTGCAGCCCAGGCTACCTCCAATCTTGATGTCATCAATTAGCTCACTTGCCTTGGTGGCCAACAGTTCCAGTATTACATCCCCTCTTGCACGATTATTTGTTACCTGGTTTAAGAAGTTATTCTCAATGCAATCCAGGAGTCTCCTGGATTTCCTGCAGCTCGCTGTGCTACTTTTCTGGCAGATGTCAGTGCAGTAAAATCCCCCAGCAGGACGAGAGCCTGCAAGCACAATGCCTTCTGTAGCTGGAGTAAGAAGCCTTCATCAGTAGGCTCCCCTTGATGGGGTGGCCTGTAGTAGACACCAACCATGACGTTTCCTTTGCTGCCTTGGTCTCTAATTCTTACCCATGAGCTTTCAACCTGCTCATGGCTATTCTTCAGAGACAGCTCTTCCCACTCTATCCATTTCTTGATGTAAAGGGAAACCCCTCCATACCTCCTTCCTCATCTGTCTCTTCTGAACAGCCTGTAGCCATCAATAGCTACGCTCCAGTCATGGGGTGCCTGTCTCAGGTAAGATATATAGTCTGTCTGTGGGCCTTATGTCTTCTGGAATGCTTGAACTCCATGATTGAGGGTCATAAGACTTGTGAAGTTTTTATCCATTGTCTTCATGGGGCAGTTCTGTTAGGAGAATAGCAAGACACCATTCTGTAAAACCCATTCATTCATTGTTTTAAGTAGGAATGGATAAATTCCATGATAAATTTCACCATACCACAAGCAGCAAAAATAGCTGAATAGTCTGTGAAGGATCTCTGACATGAGAAAATAGCGTAAGTAACATTTGAATTGGGTGTTGAAGAAGCTGTCCAAATCAAGGCTGCTTTCAATTATCTTTGAAAGGTTGGAGCAACTAGGGGAGGTTCCTGAGCACTAGAAGGCTGCAAATGTCACTTCTGTCTTCAAGGGAGAGGATCCAGGAAACCTCATGCTGGTCAGCCTTGCCCTTATGCCTGAGAAGGTGATAGGCCAAATGATCCAGAAGCAATTTTCAAAAATGTTAACGACAAAAGGGTGATTAGATTTAATAACACAGGGAATTTGTACTTCACCAACCTGATAGCTTTCTATGATCAGATGACTGGCTTGGTGGAAAAAGAAAAAGCAGTGGATGTTGTTTCTTTCAATTTTAACCAGGCTTCTGTCATTATCTCCCATAACCTCTTCATAAACAACCTGATAAAATATGGCTTAGCTAAATAGCAAGTGATGTAGACTGAAAACCAGCTGAGCTGCTGTCCTTCAAAGGACTGCAAATGGCAGCATGAAGTCCAGTGGGAGGTCAGTCACTAGTGGTGTACTCAAGGAGCCGTACTGGCACCAATACTGATTAAGATCTTCATTAAGAGCCTGGATGGTGTGACCAAGTGTGGCCTCAGCATGTTTGCAATCAATACAAAATTGAAGAAGAATGGTTGATCCACCACACAGGTGGTTGTGCTGCCCTTCAGAGTGCCTTCAGCAGGCTGGAGTAAAGGGCCAATGGCAGTCTCATGAAGTTCAGGAATGGAAAATGCAACATCCTGCAGCTGGGGACGAATAACACCAGCCACCAGCCCAGGCTGTGGGCTAACTGGATGGAAAGGAGCTTGACAGAGTAGGACCTCCAAAGTCACTCAGAATTCCACTGGACACAGGCCTCCTCTGGTTGACCCTGCTTTGAGCAAGGTGGATGGAGGTAGCCCTGGAGATCCCTTCCAATCTTAACTATACTCTGATTCTGTGTTGCTGTCTTAAGCAGTTCTTCTAGATGAATTGTTTTGCCACGTAATGCTCTCTAACGGAACACTTTTGGTAACTCAGCATGATGAATATTTCAGACAAACCTACTTCTCAAAATTCAATGACAGAATTTTACATGAACAAAATCATGCTGATCTGACTCTACTGGTTCCTCCTTACAGGAGGAATAGGCAGTGAAAAATGGTTTGAGAAGTCAGTGTAGAGACATTAAAAAAAACTTCTGTTTAGTCTCACATCAAACTTTTGGATATATACTTGTCTGATGTATATCAAACAAGCAAATTTCTGGCAAGCCTGTTCAGAAAACATTGGATAAATGCATAAGTAATTACTGCTAGTGACAGAATTTCCATACTCAGCTTGATAACTTTTTCTTTACTTGTATTTCTACCTAATCTAGGCTGGACTTGTGCTAATAATAATTTGAGGGATAATGTCTTTACAAAGAAAAGATGACTGTTCCCCTAAAATAATGTTTTAACCATAGTATCTGAGAATTTGCACTTACTGCCTTGTGACAGATAGGAGGAAATCAGCTGAGCCCTCCTGAATCACTCAGAACTTGTCTATAGCTTTGGAATACTTTGTGAAATCTGATCCAGATGTTTCCACAGACCATGGGAAACTAAAAATCTCTATCATGTGCATTTAGGCATGTCATTTTCCAGGGAAAAATCTGACATAATAGCATCATGTTCTTGACTTATTCTGCAGGTGTCCACCATGGTAATGACTTCTTGTGGACACATGATTTATACATCCAATTCAATCACATGAGCAATCCTATAAAAGGTGCATATTTTCATAAAAGTCTAATAGGGGTAAAAATCTCATAGGGCATTTTAGCATGAAACTGGAAAATGAGTTGCTGTAGATGTGTAATCTCTTCTGCTGAAGTCATCATAACTGTTCTGTGGGATCATGAATGACTATATTTTTTGGAAATTACATTTTATGCATTTAGAGAGGTGATGTCTAAGGAGATAGAAAGTATATGGCTGTATAAAATAACATGTAGATTTTTGAAGGAACTATAAAATATTAGCCCTTTGAATAGGAAAGACCTGTTCATCATGTTATTGGGTCTTGCAAAGGATAAAGTGTTTCAGTAATCCTTCTAGCATTCTTTAAATATCTCAAGCTGGAGTGCTTTTAAAAGTACTTCCTTTGAAAAATTGTTAAACTCTACCAACCAACTGCTAGTTGGCATAAGCGAAGTTCTAACAGTGAGAAATATCTTTCTGATATGTGTCAAATTGATTTCTGTTTGCTTGAAAGAGGTTATATGCCCTAGCAATTCTCGTATTTTCTATATGCACAGCATAGGTTTTTATGTGAAATATAAAAAATGACCAAAAATACATCAAAACATTTCTATTAATTCATGAAATTAGGAAAACCTTTTTACATTTTCTCCTGTCACTGATTCCATTTGCTTTATTACTTTCAGCCTCTAGCCTGCAAACTTGGTGGCACAATCAACAAACCCCTTAGTGGCTGTTTCATCTCTGCTCTATTTGATTTCTCCACTCTGAGTAAATGATTAAGTTTTCATGCATTGGTTCAACCAAAATCTATGTTCACTCAACCACATCCTTTATTGATTACTTCTACTGCAAACAGTAGGCCAAGTGTGATATACATAATTGGACAGTTGTCAGGGGATGTGGGTGTTAACAGTCCTGTTTTCCCAATTGGAAACTGGAATCACCTTGATACACAAATATTCTGCACTGTTTCATTCTCATTCCTTGGACCAAGGACTCCTTTTCCTCAGAATATATGTTTTTAACTCTCAAAGGTCTGGTTGAATGGATTTAATGATTATACCATATAATATGCTCTTCAAGTTGCACCTGTGCACTGCATATAGAAAACTAGAAAAACTGGAATTAATATTTGTCTAACACTTTAACCTTGTTCTTTAACTTATATAAATCATATGCTGTGTTTCTGTGGAGAAACATTTGATTGTCTCTCCTTAGGAAAAAAAGAAAAGATTAAAAAAAAATGTGTTTCTAATTCTAAGATTTAGAAACCTTTTGATGTTTGGCTAATATTTACAGTACAGTATATTTAATATTCTCATTATATTAAAATACTTAAATTACAAAACTAGTAAATCCAACTCTGCTTATTGGCAACTAAGCTTTATGGTAGCTTATAACATATGGTAGTTTGCAGTGTTTTAGCATCCTTTCCTGGGAATCTAGCTGATCTCAATCACATGTAGATAATCACTGCAATATTGTAAATTTGCAGCCATGTTTTGCTGTGTTTCCTGTTCCCTGGCAGGCCCTACCCTGTTATAATTACTCTGATGGAAGGGAATTGCAGACTTCTGACAGATTTTGAAAGCACACATAGTTTATAATAAAATATAGTTTATAATAAAAACTAATGTAAATAAACCTCAGCCAGTCATTTGCTGCAGTCATTTGTGTTTTTAAAATGGTGAGAAAATAAATCACAATTCTTTATCACTTACAGGAACTTCTATTTCTGTGAGTTTCTTAATTAAGCCTGGATTTTTCTGTCTTGCTTGGTGGCTTGACATTTAGCATGCTGCACTCCTACATTAGTGACTCAAGTTCATGGCTAATATTGAGGTCAGCTGCAGTAACACTTAAGCCTTAAAGGAAAAAAGAGCGCAGTGCCTTACTCACAAGCAGACCTAGATGTCTATCTTATATCTTGTAATCACACTGCAGAGATCTTATATTGTTAATATGACTGGCTTTATTAAAAAATAAAGGAAATCTGCAAATGTTACCGTCAAAGTACGTCAGCCAATTTTCAACTTAGATTCAGCTGTGACCTCAGGTTGCTCTGATCTCACTGGGATCTGGGGGTGGCACCTGCAATCCACAGTTTATAGGTTTGCCTGTGTGATTCCAGCAACCTTTTATCCACCCAGCCAAAGTGCAGTGTTGCACTCAGGGAAAGGCTGTTATCCCCAGAACTAAGAGACAGCACCATTATGTTGCTGCTGCTGCACCACCAGGGTTCTAGAGCAAGAAATGGCAGCTCTGAATGACAGGAGCCCGAAAAGCCTTACTGAGAAACTAATCTTTTTGCCTTCTCTCCCTATTCTGTCAGGATGCAGGGTCCAGCTGTATTAAAATGTTATCAGCTGCTCAGTAGGAAAAAAAAAAAAACAGGAAAAAGTGGAAACTCCAAAACCCCTATAAAATCATCACCTGCATTTTCATTCGTGGTCCTAAAATATGGCACAATATGTGGCAGAAATACCTTATTTTATTTCACTCAAAGGATCCAGTTCTGCCCTCAGATGTTCTGTGCGGGCTCATCTCATTGGTCTCAGCACAGGTAGTGTCCGGACAACTGTTTTGGAAATAAAGTCCAGTCATTAATGAGTCATCACAAGTTGCTTTGGAACAGAGGGATAGTTCTTCAGCATTTGGAGTGAATATCGATTTTTGTCCCTGTCCTTTGCTTCAGTCAGGGAAAAGCAGCTGAAGCTAAGAAGTACTTGGAAGAGTTTATGAAAGGTGCTGAGAATGCTCATCTAAGCCAAAGCCTGGTGGATGGATGCATATTACTTGGGAATATTTACAATGAAGGGGTAAGTACTGGTTGTAGTAACGATGTCAAACAATTGGGTTTAATTCATAGCAAAAATCTAGGTTTGCACATGAGATGACCCAGAATGATTTGATCCAGGTACTGTATCTTACAAGAGTTACCAAAGGAGAAGATATTGTGTGACTAAATAAAATGTGCCTTGAGTTTTTTGGCAAGGTGAAAATTTCACACCATATTTTTTAACACATAAGGGTTTGTTCTAGAATTGGTGAATAAAAACTCCAAATTCAGATTCTGGAAAACTCTTAGTGTTGAGAAAATCTGTATCCAAATCACCATTGGAGCCTTATATGCCCATAAAGAGTCATCAGTTAATGCAAATGAAATTTTATTGTACTACATATTGAAATTCATGCTTTTTTAAAATGACTGTATACTATATGGAGTACTAATGTGCAGTATTTTATTTTAGCTTGACTTTTTTTCTCTACATTCTCTCTGCTAAATTTAAATTGTGGGTGCTAGCAACAAATAGTTTGGCAAAGGTCTGTGCTGCTAGTGAAAGTGCTTTCTCTCCTATATGCCTCCACCCCGCCTGATGGCTTTTATTTGGCCTGTTTAAATCAATAGATAGTCAATGACAGACAATATTAAGCCAGAGGTGACTAAGAAACTCCTTTATTATAGTTTCTAAGGTTTTTTGAAGTGCTGCTTTCAGACCCATGTGTCAGTCTCTGGTTCTGGGATGGATCCTGCGAAGGCAGCAGTTCTGTTGGCAGCCTGACTAGCAATTTCCATACTAACTCTGTCCCTTACTACATCTAGAGATGTAGCACTTGCACTGCAGTAGTGCTTTTTTTAAATGAGAAGGATTAAAAACATTGCTGCAGAGGTGAAAGACTCTTGTAGAGCCCTTAAACACCTATTTTAGAGCTGAAATGTTACACGAAATTATTTAGAAACAATGAGTAATAAAAATAATATACTGCAGACTGTACAATCTCAAAATTAGGAAACACTTCCATTGTGAACAAAATGAAAATAGAAATGTCATTTCAAAATCACCCTTTTTAGCTTCTGTGGCCTGATTTTTGTCAGAATTTCTTTCCTACATGTAATGTATTGAACAGGCTACTTGCCCCTTTTCACTTGCACTGTCATCAGATGCCTTTAGGTTTTTTTCTGGATTTCTCTTACAGAGAAATCCTGCTACCAAAGCTGCTGGCCCATTTTTGTTTCATAAGCAGTAGAAAAAATCCTTACTCTGTTCTCTACATTAGCTTAAGAGATTTCTATTTACATATGTTCTTAGCATAAATGCTAAATTTCCCATTGAAAATTAAATTTTGAGTCCTTCAGAACTTGCTAAAGTAACTTTTAAATGGATCTAAAATTTAGAAGAAAGTAGGGTGATGTGACACTGTGCTAAATCATTCTACTACAAACTCAAAAAATAATTAACTAAATTCTTAACTATTTTTATATTTCACTGCTTCTGCCACCATTGCTGCTAATTAGTTCTATGAGAACTGATATTTTAAGAATTAACCTCTTTTTGGTTATTATCTAAATTATCTTTTGCATTTCAGAATTTGCTGCCTTGAATAGGATAGTGGTATAGAAGGGAAAAAAGTTAGTAACTTAATCTAATTAACTTATATAAAACACGTAAAATAATCATACTAAAAAATAAAAATCTTATCAAGATTTACAATTCACTATTTTCTATTTTCTATACCATTTTGCTGCAATGTTTACCAAAACTGAATCTAAAGTACCATTTCCTCTCTTGGGTCACTGCCTGCTTGTTGTCAGCTGCCATCACCAGTATTCTCTAAATCATTATTAGGGTATTTTTATTCAACTCTGTACTTCCCTGGTGATACAATTTGCAGTAGTTCTGTCCTTTTCATCGAATTAAAGATATCTCTATTTATATCCAGATCTATCCTTAGGGAACCCTTAGTAAACCAGGGATATAACTTTTACTGTTCTTCCCAAAGTGACTTTGACCAAATTCACTTTGCTCTGTCTATGCTGTTGCTGTATCTTTACAGTTCTGTCATCTTACTATTCCATCACCATCACTGTCTTTCTTTAATGCTGAACAATCGGTTCCTGTTTTCTAGACAGGCTTGTTTTACCCATATGTTTCTTGTTTCCTAAAATGCCTGGGTTTGTGTTATGTGCAAGTATTAGGCTTAATTTCTCCCAGTTTGTTAAGTAGGTTCATTACTTAATATGCAAACTCTAACACTTAGCTTGACACAGTGTCATTTATCACTTTACTTTTCTCAAGTTTCTTAGCCTGATTTGCTGTATTCCTCTCATTAATTGCATCACTTAACCTGTTACAGTTCTCATGAGTATGATATGTAGATGATTCTGCTTTTCATCTATTATTCCACTGCTTATTGTTCTTTATTCATTATTGTATCCTCATAGGCCTAATTCTGCTCTTTTGTATTAAACAAAGCTTAAAGACTACCTGAATTCCTATTACTCTTTCCTCATTTCTAAATTAAATGCACACTTTAGCAGTTATATAAATTTCGATCCCCAAAAGTAGTATCAGGTGCAACAGGTATCAAGTGGAGTCTCCCCTCCTGGTCTATACTCTATGCAGAAGGGAATTTCAATCCTACTAAATTGAGCTGAGAGTGAAAGGATAAGACAGCTCTGAAAATGTTTTCACTCAAGAAGTTTGTGCCATCAGGGCAGCAGAATTCCACACCAATAAGAGAATAGAAGGCATCCTCCAGAGAGCAAGCAGGCTTTAATTAGTATTGTATGTTTGAAATACTACACAGACAACCAAAAAGAGTTTTGTTTCTGAGAAGGATATGAGCAGTGTTGTCTGGATTTTAGAGCTTAGGAAATAGCAAGGGAGAGTGATTTGCTTAATACCATGCCATGAGTCATTCTGCGGGCTGGCCTCTCAGCTGCAACATCTTTGAGGTGCCAGAGGAGCAGGCTCTAATTCTAATTTCTAATTCTAAAATACAGGTGTCTACAAGTAGTTTTTACAATTTATTTTTTTTTTCTTCTTTACTAGGGGAACTATAATGAAGCTTTTGAATATTTCAGTCAGGCTTATGAAACAGCAAAAACTTTAAATAATTTGCCCTTAGTGGATGAAACAAAGGCTTACTATGGCATTGCAAAAGCTCATAAACTGATGGTGCCATTTAATAGCCATATAGAAGCAGAAGATCTCATAAACCTCAAGTATCTGCTGGCATGGAAGGAGAACAGAAGTGACATGTGCACTGACCCTTTTACAGTTGGTAAGACATTGGTTATGAAACACATTAGTGCTGTATTGTCCTCAATGGTTAAGTCATTTTTCTTGTAGAGTTTTATTAAATTATTTCCTGGGTTTAATTCATGTACTGAATGGGGGTTAGATTTACTCCTTTGTCTGCTTATTTTAAAGGCTGAATTAAGTAAGTTTAAATACAATATAGCAGGGAGAAATGGATAGTAGTAGTTGCTATGGATGGTAACTTACTTTTTTCAGTGCTGTTTTCCAAAACATCAGTTATGGGCAAGCAGTGTTGTATTAGTTTATTCAAGTATCATTATTTTAATCCTTAAAGAAAAATAATAGTCTTCATTTCTGGTCACTCTTACATGTGCATTCAAGAGTAAGTTCCCTGTTACTAAAGGTAAGAAGTAATTTCTGCTTGATATAAGGGGCATAGTTCTGAATTCAGAAGAACATGCTGTTTTATTTTTAGCATCCTTATGTTTGACATTGGAGAGGAAAGGGGGGCGGGGGAAAGAAAAAGCTACTCTGTTTTCTTCACTGTGTTTCCTTACCTCAGATAAAGAGTAGAGGAGGACTTTGTATGGAGTAGACCTCTTCATGGGTTAAATTTCCTTTACTTTTTTTTTCCCCCCTGCTATATGTTAATACAAGAAAAACTGAATTATGCATTATCTCCACGTATTGATAGTATTGATATATTGATAGTATATATACAAAACAACTGTTTTGTACTTTTGAAGGAAAAGGGACAAGTCTGCTACACCTTAAAGCTTTCCCGTCTGTATTCCTGTGGAGAATGTGAATCCCGATTATAGTGGAAATAAATGACAGATAGGCCAAATTCATAACATGGTGTTTCAGAGTTACTGTGTCCAAATTCCCTCAGTTATCATACTCTCAAAGAACTGCATGTCTGCTGTTTTCTTTTGTATCTTTTCTTTTCATAGAATTGGAAAATGAAGTATAACTTCAATTGTAAATTTTATATATAAAGTAAATGGTTAATAGACTGATATTTGAAGATGTTACTGGCTTAACGGGAGCCAGGATACCAGGGGCAACACTAGAAGCAACTGAGAACTGTGAAACAAAGACATTCACTGGCATGCTGAAGTGATAACAAACTAGATAGCACTCTGGAGTTCTAGTGATGGTAACAGGGCAGTCCTTTTTCAATGATAATGTTTTTCTTTTTCAGTGACTGTATATATTTATGATTTTTGCCTCAATAAGTGAATATCCAACACATTCTCAGATTTTGTTAGCTGGCAGAGTTAATTGGGTGCATGTCTCCTGCAAGAGATAGTAAGTTCCTAGACCTGTAGTGCACATGCCAAGAATTCCAATAGATATGGTCAAAGAAGAATCCAATGTCAAGCAATTTTATAGTATTTCACATGAGGATCATTACCTGTAGCTGATATAAATAGGAGGCAAAGATAAATCAACAATGGCAACAGCAAAATAATAGGAGCCTCGACAAGATAGGATGATATTTGTAGCTTCAACATGTATTTTACTTCTTTCACCTAAAGAGGTTCTCCATTCCACTTTTATACATTGCTTTCTCCAGCCAGTTGTGAAACTCATTTATCGTCTGAAATGATGTGTGCCCCTTTAAGTTTGAGATTCATGCTTCTTTTTAACGGTACTTCAGGGATAAGTATGATTAGAAAAGCCCTTTATGTCCTGGCAAGCATGATGCCAGAAACAAGTTTTGCCTGCTGAGATTCTCTTCCTTCTGCATTTCTGCCTAGTTTAGCCTCTGTTACTTTCAGTATTACAGTTTTTATTTTAGTTCCAGTTAACTCCAGGAACCCTGTGGCTACTGCATATTTAGCAGCTCTTCCAGTTCAATATCATTCTTCTCATTAGTGCTCCAAGCTTACTCTCATGATACCCAGATTACATCCAGGAAAACATAGTGTCACACTGTCAGCACAATCTGTAACATTATTCATGTTTTGTGTGCCAAATTTCTCGTTGGTACTGGCATTACATTTTTAATATCTTTGTCTGGCAAAACATGACCTGGCATTAATTCAATATTAGGATTCACTGGCTTTGAGTTTCAGGTACAGCCTTTATCCTACCTTCCAGGAGAATGTCTGTGCATCCTGTGTTGAACTCGTCACTTTGGAAACTGCTGCTGTGATAATAGACCAGTAATTCTAGCTCTTTCAAACAGCTCAGCATCGATAACCTACTAGATTTTTTTCAGTCTTTTATGATAAAACAGCTAAAGACAAGATACAATTGTATTTCTTAATCTGCGAGGGATTTTAGTGACAGGAAGGTAATAAATTTTTATTTCTAACTACTCCGACTGAATAATTTTTCTGTGACCAAAAAAAAAAAATCAGAGTAGTTTCTGTATTCTTAGTCAAAATAAATACTTAGACTAGTAGAGCAACAATGACATTTAAATTCAAGTACTGTCATTACCTTATGTCTTTCAACCAAGGCTTATTTTCTAAATCAACCATTTCAATAACCAGGCAGGAAGAACCATTAATTACTCAACTTATTTCAACATTTATTAATAAAATGGATGTTAGTCCATAGTTGTCATGGACAAAAGGGACAGGACTTTCAGAAAACAGTGTTTGTAAATGCAAAGGAGAATGTGTTTCAATCTTCTGCATTTGACTTTGTCACCTGGCTTCACTTACAAGAGAAATATTTATGCCGTTGTGAGATGCCACTGCAAGAATGAATAATTTTTTTATTGATGTTTTATGTTTAGTCAAACATTTAAAAATGAAAAAAATCATCAGAATCATTAGATTAAAAATCTTGCTACTCCATGTTAGAACCTAATAAGGAACCTACAGCATGGCTAACATTGTCTGAAGAGAAAATATTTCGCAAGTTTTTCAATAAATAATCTCCTGACTTGCTGCCTTCTAGAAGGCAGAAGAATAATTAAAGGTACTGAAGGCAAGAAAATTTTGAATCAGATTTTTTATATTGATTACATGAAATGATGACCAGAAATTGTGTTTTCTGTGAGTCTGGCAGCTCTTAGGTCATTGCATCTAGCAGGGCTGTGCCTCAGCAAGGGGCCTTGGGTACTTGAAATCATCTAAACACTTGTAAGAGTAGACTTAAAATGTATCATTTCCATCATACTAAAAAGTCTTCAGTTGTTTTCTTGAGAAACATTGTGTGCTTTTGAGCACAATTTAGATTTACATTTCTTAACTTTCAAGAACTTTGAAAAATTGACACATTTTACAATCACAGGTTTTCTGTGTTTTCTTGTTTTGGGTTGTTTTTTTTTTAATAATAGATATATATGCAGCATAGATGATTGTCTTTCCCGTATCATCAATTGCGAGATCCTATGATCAATGGAATTATCTTATACCATCAACTTCAGGACTATTTCTAGCATTACACTTTAGAATGTAATAAACTGCTCTCTTTACTGTCTCTTCTTTCTAAGAACACTACTTCCAGGAAAACTTCTAACATTGCAAATCTTGTCTTTCCTCCATTAATAAGCACCTCATTAGTTACCTCAAATGCATAGTAAATAGAACTATTATGCCATGGCACTGTACCTAAAATGCTTGACTGCACTTTAGCAAATCAAAACCAATCTTCATCAGGAATATGCATTATAAATTGTATTTTGTATTTGCCCAGTAAATGTGCCTTGGTGGTAGCAGATTCTTTGATCTGAGAATATTTAAGAGAAAGGAAAGGTATGGTGTACTGAACAAAACTACAAAAGCAGCAAGTCTCTGTACCTTACACAGATAAACATCCATAAAATCGTTCTTATGTGATATCAGTGGAAAGGTAGTGGCTTGAGTTAGCAGGTTCCTATCACTGTATATTTCGTATTTAAAGGTCTAGCAGATTTTGGCCTATCATGATACTGACGTGGGACTATCAGAATTGCACACATACATGTGCTCCCTCAAAGCCACTGTTTGTGTCTCTGTTATAGTTATTACTTTAAAAGGTCTAATCTGCACTTAGCATGTACAGAAGGGAAATGTGTATTGGCTTGTATGGTGACTGAAATTAGCATACATCTTCCTACTTTCTTTCAACATATTTCTTCTTGATGGTGTATTAATGGGGTTTGTAACTAAGTTATTGAGTAAAGATAGTGACAAAGTAGCTAGACTGAATTTGAACAGGAGAAACTATGACTTTCTTCCCAACCACTGCTGTAAAGAAGATGGGAATGACGCAGACCCTTATTTTGGGAAGTTGAGAGCATGCCTGTGCCTCCTGAGAACCTTCTGGGGCCCATCCTTCTCTCAGCAGTCTGTTCACTGTGCGAGAATTTGGAGGTAGGATCTGTAATAGACACTGCTTCAAGTTCTATGTGCTTATGATTTACATCAAGTTATACAAATTAAAATTTTATTTAATTTTTCTGAATATATTGTTAATATGACCAAAAATAATGAGAAAATGAAAGGACTTTAGAGACAGGTTTCAGTGTTTTCTCAGAAAATGCAGCTGAACATGAAATAAGGGAATTATACACTTGTTCCCAGTGTTAAATAGGAACTATGATTTTAAATTATTGAAAGGTGTGTGACTAAGTATAGACTCCGAGGCTGTCCCTATGCCAGAGCACAAAGGCTCACTTCTTAATAAGCATGTTTCACAAGTAGCTAAAACGCTTTAGTGTCCCTACTGAAATTCACAGGATGGCTTCTGCCCATTTTTGTGGGATTTACCGAATCGAGTAATTTGCTCACTTCTGGAAAAATACTGTGGCTAGAAATGCCAAAATAGTTACATTTACAAAAATTATTAGGAAAAAAAGAAATAAAAAATAGAAGTCGTTCTGTCTTTTTCTTCTTAGAATTTTCTAAACTTGTACTACCTCTTCTTATTCATATCACCTAGCACTCACCAGTTGCTGAATTTTAGCTTTTCCCACTTTTCATTTTAAAGGATCTTAGTTGGGTTTTTTTTCTTTTTTGGTTTTTTGTACTGCTGTACCTTTGATATTAATGCAAAACAGCTTACCTAATTGTTGAAAAC